CAGTGTGGCCCTCGGATGACCCTTCAGGCAGGACGTGCGAACCCCGTCGCACAGACGTGGGAACAGAGGCCTGGAGCTGCCCACGGCTGCACGGTCAAGGGTCTGCCCCCCAGGCCGCGGCCCCTCCTGCCCTCCCCCGCAGCTTCTCTGCTTGCCCAAGGTCCCGGCCTGGGGACAAGGCGAGGACAGGGGACAGGCAGAGGTGTGCGCAGCCCCTGCTGGTGACCACAAGCCTGGGCGTGTTGGCAGGTTCTCCCGGGTCTCAGCGGCCTGTGTTCTCCCGGAGCCCCTCCTTCGCCGCGGCCTCCAGGGGTAGGAGGGGCTCCAGCTAAGGCCTGTCTGAACATTAAGGGGGGCAGAATGGACCCCGGAGGAGACCTGTGCCCCCCCCACACCGAGGGAGGAGAGATCTCCGTCGCCACCTGGTGACCGGAAGGTACAGACCTGGCCACGCCCCCAGGGGTCCCCCTGCTCGAGACTCAGGTCGGGTCAGTGGCCTCCTCCCCGAGGCACTGTTATTCTAGCCTATCCTTTTCCCAGAGCAGATGCCACCCCTGCGCCCCCCCCCGACCCCCCCCAGGAGGCGGTCTGTGCAGCCAGATGGGCAAGTTCAAGTCAGCTTGTTTGGGCTCTGGCTGTCCACACGGCTGCCACCTGGACGTCCGAGTCCTTGCGGGGTCGCGGCTCACGCTTGGGGGCCGGTGGGGGGGGGGCAGAGAGTAGCTCCCGGGACAGCTTGTAAACTCTGCCTCTGGTGGGAAATAGAGCGGGCTCCGTCGGCTTTAGCCACACGCGTCTGAGCCTCGAGGCCGGGTTGCTCAGGAGGGGACGGATTCGTGGTGGGCGACGGTGCCCTCGCGGGCTGCGCCGTCCTCCCGGGCCGCTTGCCGCCGGAGGTGATGGAGGGACGGGCGGCAGGGACGGCTCCGCCCCGGGGGCCCCTCCGGTGGTGCCCACCTGCCCTGCCAGCCCGCTCTCGGGCACCCCAGGAAAGGCTGAGTGGGCCCCCGGTTCCCTGGCGACGACACCCACATCAGGACGTCATCCCCTGACAGGCCTTGGTTCCCGGGGCCCGGCCCAGCCCCGGGTCCCCCGGCCCCCCGGCCGCCCTCGGTCAAGGTAGCGTCCAGCTGTGCCGAGTGGAGGGCGTGGGGTGGAGGGCAAAGGCGGGGACAGGCCGTGGGCACACGCGCGGCTCTCAGAGGCGGAGACGGGAGCCAGGCCGCCGGCTGGGAGCCCCACGATCCCGCTCACGGAGAAGTGGGGCCGAGAGTCGGCGGGGTGGCTGGCACGTCCCTGCGAGCACGCGAGTGAGGGCTCTGAGCGCTGACTGCGGAGGTCAGTTGTGCTGTGTGCACCTGAAACTGTGGAATTTTACAAAGGAAGGAAAGTCAGCCACGTTGTCACTGTCCGCCCGTGGGAGGAGGGTACCCCTCGGTGCCCCTGAGACACGGGCGGACAGGACGAGGCCCCAGCATCTATCTGCACGAGAGGATCACAACATGGGACGTTGGTAAAAAGAACTAGTTGTAGGAGGACACAGTGTGACATTGTGTGTGCTGAGTGACAGGTGACACGTGTGGAGACATGGCGTGACAGCGGACATGTGCTCTGACGGGTGACACGTGTTTGGGGAC